AATTTCCCGGCGTGGGTTGGCCCGACAGAGCGGAGGCTGCTGCAGCAAGAGGCGAACGCAATGACGCCGGATGCAGTGGTGGCAAAGGACGGAACTGGGCAGTACCGGACTATCAATGAGGCGGTGGCGGCCGTGAAGAAGAAAAGCGAGAGTAGATTCGTGATTTACGTAAAGGAAGGCGTTTACATAGAAAATGTAGAATTGAAGAAGGACACTTGGAACGTTATGATTTTCGGAGACGGGGAAAAAAAAACCATAATCTCCGGCAGCCAGAACAGAGTTGACGGCACACACACTTTTGACACTGCCACTTTTGGTAAGCAACCGATCAAACTTCTCATTTTAATTTCTCGAGGCTGAATGCCTTAGATTCATAAAATAAAAGTGCCATATATATACTTCAATATTTGCAGCCGTTAGCGGGAAGGGATTCATAGCAGGGACGTAGGATTCGTTAACACAGCCGGTCCGGCCAAACACCAAGCAGTGGCCCTGCGATCCGGCTCAGACCGTTCAGTCTTTTACCGGTGCTCCTTCGACGGCTTCCAGGACACCCTCTACGCTCATTCCAACCGTCAGTTCTACCGTGACTGTGACATCACCGGGACCATCGACTTCATCTTCGGCAACGCTGCTTCTGTCTTCCAGAACTGCACCATCAAACCCAGACAGCCTCTCCCAGGCCAGTTCAACACCGTCACAGCTCAGGGCAAGACTGACCCAAACCAGAACACTGGCATTGTAATCCAGAACTCCTCAATTTCCGCGCTCGATCAAAATCTCACTGCTTCCACTTCCACCTACCTGGGAAGGCCCTGGAAGAATTACTCCACGATGGTGATAATGCAGTCTGATATTGGGCCATTGTTGGACCCTGCGGGCTGGGCTGAATGGATCCCTAACGTGGAGCCTCCAAGCACTATATTTTATGCAGAGTATCGGAATTCTGGGCCGGGCTCGAATGTAACCCAGCGGGTTCGATGGGCCGGTTATAAGCCCAACCTATCAGAAGAAGATGCAAGGAAGTTCACGGTTCAGTCATTCATCCAGGGTAGCCAGTGGTTGCCTGACACAGACGTGGAGTTTCAGTCCTCGTTATAATAATGTTCATTGCTTAATGTTTCTTCGTTTCTTTGATTCCTTCACTAATTGGCGTTGTAAAATGATTTTATTTTATCTTTTTCCAATGACGAAAGGGAAGTGTAGCACTTGTGAGCCCCGAGTGACTGCTTGGTTACATGCAAATTGATGTAACGTAATTAAAAATTTCTATACCGTTGACTTGTGCGTTTGGTTGTTTTTATAATCCATTACCTCTATGAGATTTATTTATTTATTGTCATAAATCGTGTAATTATGGACGTCGTTGAAAGGAAATCACGGAGGTTGGTCGAAGTCTAAAATGCCCTTGCCCCAAGTCACCACCGTCCACCGTCTGATATGTTACCTGTTGTCGCTGACCACTGCCAGTAAGTCAGTAACCACCACCGGCCGCTTATGCTTGGCAAGGGGCATTTCAAATTTTTATTTTTTTTAGTCTTTTTTAATATTAAGATAAAAAATAAATTTGTTCACATACATGGCCACCCATCGTAGGTATCCGAATGAATGCAATCAACTTTTGCACATAAACAGGTTTTCAGAAAATTGGAGTTCATTCCAAACTTCTACTTGAAGACAGCAAAAAAAATAAAATAAACGAATAAAAGTCAAAATATTTTTTATTCATCGCACTTTCATGATTTTTTAAATATTTTTTATAGATGTATGTGAAAATTTAAAGTTTAAACTATATAATTGAACTAGTTATTATCTTTTGATAAAAAATTTGGAAAACCATTTTGGAGTACTTTCGCCTTAAACCGTTGCACGCACAAAGAAGGAAGTAGGGCTGCATAAAGGATTAAATAGTATTAGACTACAGATTAACTTAAAATCTGATCTCTTTTATAAAAAAAATTGACTTAGGCAACCTCTGGTTTTATCTAGTGATAACCCAAAAATTAGCAAGACCAGACTTTGTCCTGTTAGTTTAATATTCACTTAAATATTTTTTTCTTTTTTTTATGAGAGGCAATAATCAATTTCAATCTAATAAACTCAATTAAGATAATAAAATCACTTATAATCATAATAAATTCAAAATAATTTCTAATAATGAGAAAAAAATATTTTAGCTACAGTCCAAATAATTTAAATTTATAATTTCAATAAAAACAATACTTAACAAACTTGAACAACACTACATTATAATAATAATAATTTAGAAACAAACTTAACGAGTCTTTATACAATTATTTCCTTAACGTCTATTACACTTGAAGCATTTACTAAAAATAATTAATTATAATTATATTAATAATTTAATAGGATTGAACTGGATCAAGTGGTTCAAATACCTAATCTTCTATCCAATTCAATTAAAAAAATAATATAATCTTTTTAACTTTTTTAATCCTAAAAGATTAATGTTTATAAGAATTAAATAAGACAAAATTATCTCAAATTAAATTAAATCGAACTAAATTTAAAAACTTTTGCACAGCCTATGAGAAAGTTTGGAAAAAAAATCGTACAATATTTTAAGAAATATGAAGATAAGAGAAAATATGAAAGATGAAAACAAACAAGGATGCGACAATATAATAACATGACGTCAAAAATAGTAGAACATAGCCTTATCATTTGGAAATCAATCAGAGACTGCAAGTCGTGACTAGTGAGGGAGACCGATGCCTATCAGCCATCAATTTGTCAGCAGTCAGCACCTAATTCCTGACTCGATAGCACCAGTTTATTTGATAATTTGGTACTCCACCACTTTTTTTTACCATGTACTACTTCCCTTTTTATTTACAAATTATAACTCATTTCTATTAATTTTATCAATATCAATACAATAAAAGTATAAGAAATAAAAATAAGTAAAATTTCAACATATCCCTATATAACAAATCTAAAAAGTAATGTCCTATTACTTTTTTTCTTTCATGAGGGTAATTTTAAAAATATCTCTCAAATATTACCTAAAAAGACGCACCATAACTTATAAATAGTACCAATACACCTTTTAAAATGAGACTTATAAATGGAATCGGAGGGAGTACTTCTATTAATTTTATTAATATTAATATAATAAAAATATAAAAAAAAAATAAATAAAATTTTAAATATAATAAAAAATAAATAAATGAATATAATATTATTTTTTCTCTTTCTCTTTCTTATTAGGGTAGTTTAAAATTTTTAATTTAAAATAAAATAATTCATCAATTAATGATTTATAAAATAGATCAAATTTTACTTTTAAAATATGATTAATATACAAAATTGAAGGAGTATATTTTAAAAAATTTATTTAAATTTGTTTGTAAATTATGGTATAGCTTTTAAAGCAATATTTAAAAAATATTTTTAAAATTATCCTTTATAAAAAAAGTTGCATCACCTTTTAGATTTTTTAAATATAAAAATATATAGAATTATTTTATACCATATATTTTAAAATATATTTTTTTATAAATTATTTTAAAATATATAATTTTTTAAAATTATATATTTTTATTTCTTTTATATTTTTTATTTTAGTATTAATAAAATTGATGAAAATAACTTATAAAGGCAATCGAAAGAGTATGGCTTTGAATGTGAATTTTGATCATTCAATTATTTTTTTACCCAAGGTTGAAAAGAAAAACCCGATATTTTATCTAACAAACTAAAATATACCATATATTTCTATTGCCTCTGACATTTTCAAAGGCAGCATGCCTTATTTCTATTAGAAAAACCAGTTTTTGGAAGTTGACATGAATTATCAAAATATTAGTGACCCATCAACAATATATGAATGTACGAATGTAAAGGTCAAACTATTTATAAGTAAATTATCTCGATCTTTATGCAATGCATGACCTCATGTCTAGTTTGATAAAATTCATTGCACGAAAGAAAATTTTGGAAATAATTAGTTTAAGAACATTTTAAATTTAAATTATTTGCTACTCCACATAATCCTTTAAATTTTGGAGTATCTTCTTAAAGAAACTACGTAGAATCCTTTAAATTTTTAAATTTGTAATTGCAATTCTTATTAGCTTTGGCTATATTTCCCAACATTAAAAGAGAAAACCATGAAGTTCTCATTAAAATATCCAATGATTCCACCAAACTCAAAAGATTGAAATGACAATGATCAAAATATTCATATTATAATATGCTATATTGACAATAATCAATAACCATTCATCATATGACAAATGCTATTGATAAGTGAGGTATTTATTTGTGATAAATGCAAATTTATTATATGCAATAGTTTTCTTTAAAATTAAACAATTCACACTTGTAACTGTTAGATACCTTACTTGTTCATAGCTTTTGTCTTGTAATAAATGGCCACTGCTAAGTTGTTAATAAGGCATTTTATAACATTGGTATTTTGGTTATTATCATTTGAATCTTATTTATCCTAGATCCTTAGGAACTTATAATTATTTAGAGATTTCATGAGACTTCTGGATATTTTAAATTTTGAATGATTACAAGGGACTTCATCATGATTTTCTTCAATTAAAATCACATTTTTATATAAAAATAATATTTTTTTTAAATTTGTGAACAATGTATTACTCCAATACTATTTATAAGTAATTTTTATCAGTTTCATCAATATTAATATAAAAAAAATACAAGAAATAAAAGTGTATAAAATTTTAAATATATTCTTTTATAATAAATTTGAACAATGATATTATATTACATTTTTTCTTTCAAGGATAATTTTAAAATTATTTTTTAAATATTATTTAAAAATTTATATCATAATTTATAAATGAGTTCAAATAGACTCCCCAGAATGTAACTGGCAGCACATAAACTTTATTGTGATCCTGCTGATATTCGGATGATTTATAAAAATTGGGTTTTAAATGTAATTTTTCCCTGAAATTGGACCAAGGTGGCTCCTGGAGCACGAAAATTAGGAGCGGGATGAGGAGGTTGGTCGAGTCGTAGATTCAGTTCATATACTGTGGGCGCCCGGAGATCAGGGCTTGCTTTTCTTGATATCGTGTCCAAAATTTTCTAATGCCACGAAATATCACATCCTAAAATCCCATTTATATACGATGCGGAAATTCGTTGCGGACAGAGTCAGGCGCATTTTGAGCCGTTCTTTGCAGCATTGCCCTCACACTCACCCCCGTTTCCTTTCGCCTCTCCATTCTCTTGCTTTCCATTCTTCTTCCATGGCCTCTTCTCCTTCTGATTCATCCTTTCCTGTTACTATACAGAACATCAATCCCAAAGTATGTCCTTTCTTTTCTTCATCTTATCCTTTTTCTTGGATATTATCATCTCTAGTTGCGAGCTTGGAACTGTACGATTGCATCCAATGACTCTTTTTTTTTTTTGGTTTCCTGAGTTGAACTGAAGTTTATGGCTGTTGATGAAGAATTTCTTGCTTGATGATATTATGAGTGTTTCCCCCCCAGCTAAAAAAATCAACTCTTTTCTTTTGGTATCATTTTTCATTTTTTAGCCGCGCGGAATATTGAGTTCTCTAGGCTACTTAACATTTGAGATCTAGAACTAAGTTTGACCTTTGTTTATCCCCTTTATTTCTCTCTAGCTGTTTTTAAGAATTAACTTCGTTCAGTTTCTTATAGCTGTCTCTCAGTAGAGGGACTAATGACGATTAATAGCTCCTTCCTCTATTCAGTCTCTTACATCTGATTACTTGGAGTGAGATTCAACTTTCATTACCATGTGGTTTTCGGTGTTGGCGATTATCCAATGGAGTGCTACGTCTGCACTTAAGGATCCTTTTTTGGTAATGCTGTCACCAGTGTTATACTTGTGCTTGCCTGAAACCATCTTCTTTTCCTGCAGGTTCTGGAATGTGAATATGCTGTTCGAGGAGAAATCGTTACCATGGCCCAGGTAATGTGATTTGGTCGTACATCTTGAAAGGATTAAATGCTTTCGTTGAAAAGTTATTTTTTGTCTAGGTAAATATTCCTAGGTATAGCTGATTCCATGTCTCCATCCAGTGGGATAAGGCTGCTTCTTCTTCTTGTCATTGTTGTTAAACATCTGCAGAAGCGTTTTAGATCCTTTACTGGCAAAACATTGCCTTAATGTTATTTCAACACTGTCACTGATAGCAATGCTTTTTTGAAACCATAGCTTGAGAGATAAAGCCGCATTTGATGCTATCAAGTTTCCGATATTTTTTTTTTTGAATGATTACAACATGAAATGGTTTCACCGATACCTTGCGATATCTCAATGCTCCAGAAATTGCAAGAAGAATTACAGGCGAATTCAGGCTCTCATCCATTTGACCAGGTACTGTTTTCCACATGATATCCTCTATGCTTTAATTTAAGTGGTTTTTCTGTCTTTTCTGACTTGTCTATTGTCTGAAAATAGATAATTTACTGCAACATTGGCAATCCTCAATCTCTTGGCCAGCAGCCAATAACTTTCTTCCGAGAGGTTGGTTTGCTGTTATTTTTATGGTGAAATGCAGCAGTGTTCATACCATTAAAGAAATCCTTCTTATGACAGTCTAATATGTATTATAGGTTCTTGCATTATGCGACCATCCAGCTATCTTGGACAAAAGTGAAACACAGGGTTTGTTCAGGTACTTGAGATCAATATCAACAGTGAGGTATCGGAACAATTAAACATAGTGGATTGTGTCAAATCTGGAAATTATTACAATTAAAAACCTGGTAGATCAATATTTTCAATGTTATAATGTTTCACTCTTTCAGTTCAGTTTTACATATGTAAAGTGTATCATATTAGTTTTGCTTATACCCTTTTGGACATGAAACTAGATTGTTAGAGCATGAATTTTTCATTACAATCGCAAATATTTCCTGGCTGCAATTAACAAAGTGCAGTAATAGTGTTTTCTCTATGGAATTCATATGATTGCTTGGCTTTTGTCCATTTACATGTTCATATAGACATAGAGTCAATAATAAGAAGTTAAGATTATGGTCTTTCATTTAATTTGAGTAAATCTCAGTTTGTTAATCCCTTGTCATAATGCTGCAGTTTACCTTGTGCGAAAAAAATTAAAAGCTTCTTTTACCACTTAAATTTTGATCTTAATAAATTATCTGTGGTGTGGATTTTTGATAATTCTATTTCATGTATTTTCTAGTTAATTTTTGCCTTAATAGTTGTTCTTTTGACATATTTTTCAGTGCTGATGCAATAGAGCAAGCTTGGCAGATTTTAGATCAGATTCCTGGAAGAGCTACTGGTGCCTATAGTCATAGTCAGGTTGTGATTGCACCATCTTCTCTATATTTTCTTGCCTCAGATTGATATACATGGAATAATCATGAAAATATTGTTCTCATATCAGGGTATCAAGGGTTTGCGTGATACAATTGCAGCCGGAATTGAAGATCGTGATGGTTTTCCTGCTGATCCCATTGACATTTTCTTGACTGATGGTGCAAGCCCAGCGGTAACTCAACTTTAAATTTTTCATGAAGTGTTTTCTTGGTGGGCTTGGATAATGGGACTTTTGAGTCCTCATTTACTGAGGGTTTGTTGCACTAAATTTAGATGGCAGCACTGGTCCAACTTCATTTTCAATCTGAATAACTTAAGATGATTATCTTTTCTATTTTGCCAGGTCCATATGATGATGCAATTGCTCATAAGATCAGAAAAAGATGGTATTTTGTGCCCCATCCCTCAGTATCCTCTGTACTCAGCTTCAATTGCCCTCCATGGTGGCACTCTGGTAGGTCTATACACATACGAGATTAATACATATTTTAAATTAGATTGATCATATTTTAATTTGTTTCACTGCACTGATTTGAAAGGGTTAAAATCGCCCTTGCATGTTTGTATGGCTAGGAATACCTTCAAATTGAAAAAACTGTGCTGTAAATTTCATTTTAAATTATTTATCATTGGATAACTTTGCCATTATGTTTTTGAAGGTACCTTATTATCTTGATGAAGCAACTGGCTGGGGTTTGGAAATACCTGAGGTCAAGAACCAGTTGGAGAATGCCAAGTCCAAGGGCATCAGTGTTAGAGCTTTGGTTGTTATAAATCCAGGAAACCCAACAGGGCAGGTGAATTGCAGTGAAACTAGTGATATTAATACAAGAGAGTATTTAAGGTTTGAAGCTAAGCTTGCTAAAGAATAAAACATGGATTTTCTGTCATGCCTTCTAGGTTCTTTCTGAGGAAAACCAGCGGGATATTGTGAAATTCTGCAAGGAAGAAGGTTTGGTTCTCTTGGCTGATGAGGTAACTGGATTTTTTTCCCTGAGAATTTCATACACTAATAAAAGTGCGTTGCACTTTAACTGAAACCTTTATTTTGCAGGTGTATCAAGAAAATATTTATGTTCCTGAGAAAAAATTTCATTCTTTCAAGAAGGTATCTCGGTCTATGGGCTATGGTGAGGATGACCTATCTTTGGTGTCTTTTCAATCAGTTTCCAAAGGCAAGTTGGTGAAAGGAATCATTTATCACAATAAGGATAGACAAACAATAATGTCATGGGATCTATACCAATGCAGAATGTCATTCTCTTTGGTTTCAGGCTATTATGGAGAGTGTGGGAAACGAGGAGGTTATATGGAGGTGACTGGGTTTTCCGCAGATGTGAGGGAACAGATATATAAGGTGGCCTCTGTGAATCTCTGTTCAAATATCTCTGGTCAAATTCTTGCTAGCCTGGTCATGAGCCCTCCCAAGGTTAGTTCTTCACTTCTTTGCCTCTCTAAAGTCACACCAATTGTCCCTCCACGCCCCTAATTTCAGAAAAATAATCTAGAAAGAAAATAGATAGATCTTAATCAAGATACAATTTGTACAAGAGCAGCAACTTTGGGCTTGAAGTAACTTCTGGGGAAGAGGTTAAAAGTAGACTTAAAAGCAGTTAACACTGATGATTTCTATCCTCAGAAAAACTCTGAACTCTGTAATCGGTAGACCTGACCCATTTTCCAAGTGTTACTCTTGTCGTTTTCTTTTGGCCTTTGTATATTTTGTGGTGGACTACAACATGGCGTATAAGTTAGGATTATAGTATAGAGAGCAAAAAGTTGATCGGAAGCTAAGCTGTTGCAACATGGAGGCAATGTTTTTCACTTTCTGTTAGAAGAAGCTTGGTATATTACAATGATTGACAATGAGAGACTTGCTCTAGAATATTCTGCACTGTTTTCGGTCATGTTTCAGCAAATTTTTTGTGCCTTTAGCTTACTCAAAACCAACTCAATCTGGGATCCGTGTAAAAACACATTAGATGGATCGGCAAGTTGAGTCTGTTAATTAGGAAGGTGTGTCAATAATGGGTAGATCAGATCCCATATGTATTTGCAATCAACAATGTAATACTTTTTTAATTAAAAGGGCAAGTATACAATGTAATACTAGGATCATAACATTTATTTTTAAATATCCTTCAATACAATTGTTTTATTTTGAGAATGTGGTCATGAAATTCCGAACATTCTATCACTAGTATCAATTGCAATTCCCATATGACACTCTGAATTTCAGGTTGGAGATGAGTCCTATGAGTCGTATGTTGCAGAGAGAGATGGAATTCTATCTTCTCTTGCTAGGCGTGCCAAGGTCAGTTACCGAAAAAGAAAAAAGAAAAAAGAACTTAGTTTAGTCATTCTATTTGAGGACTGTATATTAATCATGTCAAAAGAGTAATATTCCAAACAATTTACAAGCTTCCTTCTCTTTACCCATTTCACATAATCTCCTGTGCAAACATCATATTGAAAAGAGTGTCCAACGCTGCAAAGTGACTGCCACCAGCCCCCTTTTGTTCTTCTTTTCCCTTGTTTAAATATTTATTTTTGTTTGTTAATCTTTTGGATTTATATTGTCGACTCAGACACTGGAAGAAGCATTTAACAATCTAGAGGGTGTGACATGCAACAAAGCAGAAGGGGCAATGTATCTATTTCCCCGTATTTGCCTCCCTGAAAAGGCAATCAAAGCTGCAGAGGCTGCTAAAAAAGCTCCTGATGCTTTCTACTGTCAGCGCCTCCTTAATGCCACCGGAGTTGTTGTTGTCCCTGGTTCTGGTTTTGGACAGGTTAGTTTTTATTGATTTATCACAGTAAAACAAAACCTGTCTCTTCCTGCATTGGATTTATATTCTACTGATCAATAAAACTGTCGTTTGTTATAACCAATTTGCTTTTCCATTCATCTCGCGATTGACTAGGCTTTGTGAACAGCCTCCCTCATCTTTAAAAATTAAAAATTACCCCTTAACTTTCATCCCTTATAGCATTAGGGAATTTTAGAATTTAGAGTTGCACATTTCAATTTGGCACAAAGTTTTTCGAGCATTATAGTTGCCCTTGTTTACTTCTAATTTGATGGGGTCGTGATGCTTGTGGATAGGTTTTAAATGTTAAATCGCCGAAGTTTATAGGGATAATTTCTGATTTTGGAAGTTGAAAAGGAACCTGCAGATTGTAAATGGCTCAAATTTGAAAAGACACATCTACAAGTTTCCGAAAACATAACGTGGATATGTCTTGCTACTCAACATCATATTATTGACTCATCTAAAAATATTTGATCCACCTCATAATTTTACTTCTTGAGTTGATATAGCATACACTTCAAAAGAACACCAAAGTTTTCTTTCTCTGGGAATTATCAGCTTAATTTTGGATTGTGACGTTGTCATGTAAGGTTCCTGGGACCTGGCACTTCAGGTGCACAATTCTGCCTCAAGAAGAGAAGATTCCAGCGATTGTCACCGGCTTGACAGAGTTCCACAAACAATTCATGGATGAGTTTCGCGACTGAGGATTCCTGGTTGAGTTTCTTCCATCACAATAAGGATAGCCAATCAACTTTTGACAGTACTAGACTTTGAGTTTCTAGATGCGATAGCATTTGTATCTTTCTTTGGCAATCAGTAATAATTCAACAGAAAGGGGGGAAAACTGCTTGTGTTGGGTGGCATTAACCCATTGCTTCCTGGTTCCTTGTGTCGGGAGCCATGGAAGCCAAGAAAGAAAAAACGAATACGTTTGGGTGAGCTATACAGCCTCCAAACAATCTTGGGCGCACTTGAACAACTGAAACAGATGTTGCAGATAGTGGTTGGGATTAGCATGCCCACTTCAATAAATCATTACCTATGGAACACTTGAGAATTACTTTTGCAGCTTCAATGCCATTGGGATTCCTTGTTAGTTGCTGTTGTATCTGCAAGCATACAAGCAAAATCTGAGCAGAGGGATTGCATAAAATTGGGAATTTGAAAACTTTTGAACTGAAATTATGACTGAAATGAAAAAAAAATGATAACCTCACGCACGCTCAGGGACTATGAGTGTGTTGAATTCATTGTTTATCGGATTCTTTTTTATTTTTTTCCAATCTCTAATTTTTCCACTCTCTAATTTTATAGGTGTTTGTATGTTTTGAATTCCAAGATATCTAAATTACATAGACTTTCAATTTTGTGAAAATTGAAAAAAAAAATCTTTTATTTTCAGAACTTAAACTTTATTTTAACTCTTAAAAATTTAAAATTGCTAATCTACCCTTATCATTTATTTGTCTAATTTTTCTCTTTTCTACCCCTAAATTAAACAATTTGTAAATAAGTATGATAATATTTGTATAAATGTTTTAAAAATAGAGTTTAAAATGAATTGTATAATAAAATAAGGAAATGAAATTGAAATTTAAAAACCTAAAATGTGATGAAAGTTTCATGAAAATATATATATATATATATATGTTATGGAAGAACATTTTAGTTAAAAATATTAAATTTGGTGAGTTAATGACAAATTAACAGTTGAGTTAATGAAACTAGAATTTTAAAGAAAATGAAAAGGTTGTTCTAGTATGGCTTTTGTGACAAAATCGGCCTTTATATTTTAATGAGTAATTAGAAGCTCAAATCTCTTAACTTTTTATTAGTGGTCAGGGGTCGAGCTTGGAGAGTGAGTCCGAATTAAAAGAAAATAATGCTCCTGTTATGGAGTTAATGTTTAAAAATATGAGATATGTTTAATATTTTAAAATATAGTTGATGTGTGTTTTTTTTAAAAAAATGTCAATAATAAATAAATAATTTTATATTTATTTTTAAGTGAACACTGGCCAATTCAACCAATATCCGATCATCAGTCTGGTTCGTGTGAGATAGAAAAACTGAAAGATAATCAAACCAGTTAACGAATTGAAAAAACAGTGAAAACCAAACAGTTGATAGGTTTGGCTGATCAAGAGATGGTATCTAGAAAAAGATAACGGAACGCAAGGAAGGGTTGAGATGTGTGAGAGAAAAGATGAAAATCTGAAGGATGAAAGAGATTTACAAAAAAAAAAAAAACAAATAAGAATACATTTTGCAGCAAAAAATCACCTTAGATTTGTTTCACAAAACTACAGGATTTATGATCAAGCCATTAGACAGGGTAAAAATGAAGCTGCAGTTCCACAACTCGGCAGTCCGCAGCAAAGAGTAAGGAAGGAAAAACAAAGACGAATGTGTCATCTAATAGAAAGAATGTGTGTGTTAGTCCAACGGTCAATTTGCTTCATTTTTCTGCCGTAAGATTTTTTCCTCTTTCCATGTGAATGGCTCCATTTTAATATTATTAAATATTAATATACTTCTCTGATCCTATTTATATAACAGAAAAAAAATAAAAAATTTAATCCTATTTCTAACGTATTTATCAATTTTTAATACTTTTTTTTTACCCTTATTAAATGTTTTGAATAAAAATATCAATAATAAAATTTAAAAATATTTGTTAGGGATGAAGGCAAAAATTTATTAAATTTTAAGATAAAGTTAATGAGATTTAATATTTTTTTTAGTTCTATAAAACATGTTCAAAGTGATTTATAAATAGAATCAAAAAAATTATTAAAGAATAGAGTAGAAGGCGGGAAGCAATTTGAGATGAGAGGAAAGATAAAAACATCTATTTATAGATTCATATTAATATTATTTATGCTTATAAAAAAATAGGAAGATGAAATGAAGTATACTAAAATACTATTATTTTAAATAAAAAATTATAAACAACTTATAATTTTCTTATCTTTATATAAATATTTTTATTTAAATATTAATTTTGTTGATTATAGATGAATTTATCTTATGATTTTTCTGTGTATAAAATTTAAAATGCATTAAATTAATCAAAATCTGTTGAACCATGATTGAACCATTAACCCTTAAATCAATCCCTTGTGTGGTTTTTAAAATCTTGAAAATACCTATTAAATAAAAAAATATAAAAATGGCATTAATTTAAAGATATATAAATAATTTATTGGGCGTTGAGATTTAATTAAAAATGACTTATATTTTTTAACAATAAAAATAAAATTTTTTAATAAACTAACAATATCTTTTAGTTTATTTAGTAGGTTAATAGTGAATAAATAAAATATCAAATAATATGCTAATAGCCTACAATTAAATTGTGTGAGAGAAATGTAAAAGGAGCTATGCTTGAAAAATTAGCATGGAGGCGTGAAAAATTAAAACTCCTCATATTTTACGAATGGTGGCACCATTTTAATTAGAAAGGACGATATCGACCAAAAAAGAACTTTGAAAGAACTTAATATTTAACAAAGATCTAGACAAATTGAATATTTGTTAAAATAATATCCTTACTTAGTATTAATTTGTTAATATTTATATACTTTTTAAAAATCTTTATCTGGTATTAAATTCGTCTTTTTTTTATGTTCTCGCTAATTAGAATGATTCCTGTTTGCTTTAAAACTGAATCAGTGATAACTTTTCTGTTCATAACACAGTAAGCTAAGAATTATGTAACATTTATTTTTTTTAACATTTTTACACTGATTTTCACAATGCTTAGTAAACACATAAAAGCTAATTAAAATATTTAAATAAATAATTCAGAAAAAATGCTTTAAGAATATAAATTAAATTAAACGTTTTATGAAAAGAAAATACATGTTTTTGAAGGCTAATAGCATTTACACCATGTTTTATATCCGAATATAATAATAATAATAATAATAATAATAATAATAATAATAATAATAAACAAAAAAAAAAACCAATTATGTGATCACTCCCTCCCAAGAAAGGTTATTAAACTCATTACTTTAAGTAAACTTATGATAGGAATATAAACTCGTATCATAAACTCAAATCGTAAACTTATAAAAGTTTATCTCTATTAACAAATAACTGTTAAAATATGATTATAATTTAATTTAAATATATTAAAAATATAATCATTGAAATTAAACTTATCTACATTGATAAATTATCATATACAAGACATAAAAATTTTAAAATAGAGAAACTTATTTTTGGTATTTTATTTTCTTTTTTATTAACATTAGTTTTTATATTTCAAGATTTTTTTTTCCTTTGAACCATATTTTATAACTTTTATAAACTAAATTATTTATAGTATATACTTAACTTATTCAACTTAAAAAAAATTGACAAGTTTAACAAGTTTAATCAAACTTATATTTGATCCGAGTTTATAAATTATTTAACACAATTTTATAAATTAAAAATGTAAAAACGATAAATTCAAAAGTAAATTTAGGAGTTTAACAAAATTTATATTTAGTTTGAATTTATGAATGAATTAACATAATTTTATAAATTAAAAATATAAAAATATTAAACACCTAAAATCAATTTGACAGCTTCACAATTATGCTCGTAAGAAAATAAATTTGAGAGAGAGTTGGATCAAAGTTTAAAACAGAAGGTGGATGTTAATGAGTATATTTCAGAATTCAGTTTGACGAGGACATGTACTCGGTTCTCTGAGACAAAACTCGGGACGTGTAGTTAATTTGAGCATGCATTTGGAAAGGCGTGCAGTGATGAGATTGAAAGTGGAATAAATGAGTGTAAGATTGGACACACGACATAGAATCAGGTCTGGTCCTCTGCAACATCAAACAGAAAGATTCTGAAGAGCCAAAAGCAGTTAAACTTAGAGCTTCGCTTTTGTTCTCTCTGGGATTCTGTTTCTGTAGTGTCTGCGTCATCCGCAAACTCGCATGTGTCTGATCTGGTGTCTGAAAAGGCCGGATGCCATTTGAACTGCTAAACACTTTACGTGCATCCACTTTCACGTAACTCTCCCATGCGTCTTTCTGATACGATGCGAATAGACTTGTAGTCTTCCATATCCTGCCAACGTCCCAGACATGAAAGGCCCCTTTGCTTTCTCGAGATTTTTAACCTGATTTCACTGCCAACAAATGAATTAATTATTTTTCAATTAACATTATCTTTATATATCTCTATTTAATAAAATATTTTATTTAAAAACAAATATAAATTTATTTATTTTTTAAGGACATATTTTAAAAAATATATTAATCATATCTTGAAATGTTAAAAATATTTTATATTTTTTAATATCCAACCTTTTAAACATATCTTATATTTTAAATGAAGGGAGTATCTATTTAAGATTAGGTAAAACTTTAAAATTTTGTCCTATAATCAAGACAAGTTGATGTACTAAACTTAGAATAGATCGAATTACTAGGTAGGGATAACTTGTAATAGATTCTATTTTAAATAAAGGATTAAAAGACATTTTTATCCTTTAACTATTCACTTAAAAGTGTTTAGTATCTTAAATTTTCATGTGGTGCAATTTTTTTTAACTTTTGAAAATGATGTATTGGATATTCTATCATTAAAAAAGTTACCTTTGACATGAAAAAGGGACTTAATCGATATTAATTTTTTTATATGGTATTTATTTATAATTTCATGGGTACTTTTTGTAATTTAAGAGATCCTTTTGTAGAATTGTTTGGGTCTGATGATTAAAGTTAACTTTTTTAACAACAAATTATCCAATGCTCAATTTTCAAAAGTTAAATAAAAAAATTATATTACATAAAAGTTTAAAATACCAAATGTTTTTGAGGAAATAGTCTCGAGACAAAAATGTTTCTTATCGCAATTATTAACAAAAGAGAGATATGAATTTTATTACTGAACAGCCTTACGGGGATATATTTAAGTATGATTTGCGCCACACTTTGATTGCATCATACTAGTGTATGGAAGACAACCACATGAAGTAGGACGACTTGAAAATGGATTCTTCAATATGTTTTGAGATTCTTCATTTGCCTTCTCCATCGTGTGCTGCTCTCTTGCTGCCTCTCTCCATTCTTCTGCTCTCCTCTT